GCGAGGGATCTCGAAACGATCTTAATCGGTTCATACGAAGCTCGGCGAAAAGAATTCACGACGGGGAAATTCACGAAAAATCTGCGAAAACACAACTCGAGCTCGTCGACAAGTAGGTCATCCGCTAGGAGAGGGGGGTACGGAGGGGGGCGGGAGGAGGGGGGGGAAGGCGAGTGCGTGTGTAAACGATGTAATCGCGGCGGTGTGGTGGTCTCTTTTGCCACCTTGACACGCATTCTCTCTTTCTCGGCTATGACACAGTCAGGGCCGGGGACTCCCGATACGGGAGCCCCCCGTCCCCCCTTTCTCCCCCCGATCGTACCATCACTGGAATCGTTATATTTTCACGATACGAACATTATTTTCAACCGCGTTTCTATACGATTATGTAATCGCGAAATACCTTTAACCCTTAAACATTAATTAGGGGGGCTTCCAGTGTCCCCCCTGATAAAAAATTTTTTAATTACTTGCATTTTTTTGCATTTAAAAATTTTTATGATATAAATAAAATATGGTATTTTTAGAAGTAATGTAGGACAAAATCGATACGGGAGCCCCTTGGCCCCCCTTTCTCCCCCTTAGAAAAATTTTAAAATTGTATTTTTTCGATTTTTTCATTTTTTTATTTTTATGATATAAATAAAATATACTATTTTTAGAAGTGATGTAGGACAAAATCGATACGGGAGCCCCTTGGCCCCCCTTTTTCCCCCTTAGAAAAATTTTAAAATTGTATTTTTTCATTTTTTTATTTTTATGATATAAATAAAATATGCTATTTTTAGAAGTGATGAAAGTGTAGGGAAAAATCGATGCGGGGGCCCTCCCTCCCTTTCTTTTTTCGAGAGAAATTTTAAAATTACTTGCATTTTTACATTTTTTTATTTTTTATGATATAAATAAAATGTGCTATTTTTAGAAATGATGGAAGTGTAGAACAAAATGGTGCGAGCCTTAAGTTAGAATTAATCGATTTTTTATTCGAAAAACATTAGTCATTAGTTATAATGGTTCATTTTCGAGGCTTATATGGACACATTAAAATTTCCAAGCGTAATTATTCACTTCTAATGTCCGGAGTCAAATATTATCTCTCGGGCGCTTTGAGCATACAATATTATCGATGGTTTTTCAAAGATAATTTAAGAGAAAATTTCGAGGATATTAAGGACAAATTCTTAACGAGACGACTCGTTAGGCTGCTCATTACGCTTGTTACGAGGGGAGAGAGTTTCGAAGCCATTAAGAATAACTATACTTTGAGATACATAGAGCGTTTGAATTAATTTCTACAACGGTGTAGAATCGGCAAGCTGCAAGTGCATCCTTCTGGATGTGGCACGCAAATTATCCAGGATATCGGAGATTCCCAGCGGAACCTCTCGCGTGAGATCGCGTTAACCTTCGGCGATGATTTTCTAGCGCTAGATTCAGCCGGATCTCTCGGTTTCCTTCTCTGCCATCTCGTCTCGATTGAAATTCGCTTAAAAATTCAAAAAGAGATTTATACAAAAATAAGGAGATAGCGATGGAAGAGAAGAAGATGCACAAAAAGTGAAAGTGACGATGCCGCTTATTATCTCTTGACAGAATAAGCGACCGTATTTCCTTGTCACGAGAGACCTATTTTTTTTGTGCTGCCTTTGAATGAGTCAACGAAGTAAGAATAAGACAGGGGAATAGCCTTATTAGTCATCCTTTCCTAATATATACACGTATATATAGTGCGATATCTCTTAAATCTTCAATACATAGCTGGAACGTTATCGCATTCCGTTGTTTTCAATAAGATAAAGTAGTTAGGCAACGAAAAAGAAAACGACGCGTCAGATATTTCATTTGATTGCCAATAAAATTCTTCAATAATTTGTGCAATCATCTTAAAAAAAATAGATGAATAAAGATTTTGCAAGAAACGTGAAAATAAAGATATAAATATATAAAATAATAAATAATATATTTTTTGTTATTTGGAAAATAAAATTTATTTCTGCGCTTTTTTAAATGGTTGACAATTGAATTGAATAGTTGGACAACGAAAAAGAAAACGATACGTCAGGTATTTCAATTGATTTCCAATAAAATTCTTCAATAATTTGTGCAATCATCTTAAAAAAATAGATGAATAAAGATTTTGCAAGATACTGAAAATAAATATAAAGATATATAAAATAATAGAATAATAAATATAAAATAATATATATTTTTTTGTTATTTGGAAAATGAAATTTATTTCTGCTCTCTCTTAAAATGGTTGACAGCTGAATTGAAATGCAGATTGTGCTATTATAGTTGACAAATGTTCGAAGAAAGCTGTAGTAGCATGATTCATGACATGCAATTTGAGTAAAATATGATTTAACGATAATCCGGTTTAACGTCGAAACTTGTATTTCATTTAGCCTGTTTTCGTTCAAAATAAAAAAATCTGTTTACAACGAACGGATAGGGACGGTAAATAATCGCAAAATAAATCTAATAAATAAAGAGAAATTTTTTGTGTCTCTGAATTATTTTGAAAAGTACAAAAGATTCACAAAAGATCTGCATAGCCTCGTATATCTGCGGGAGTTTTCCCGTATTAATGCAAATTTTTAGACACATTTTCATCAAAGAAAGTATTCTTCAAACATGACTTTCCCACAGCCATTCTCGAAAAATCGATTCTATTACAAATCTAAGAAAAATATTTATTCCATTTATAAAATCATTTTCTCTGTGATTTATTTATTATATTTATTTACAAAATTAAAAATAGATGCATATTGTCATTTTTACATTTTTCTTCAGTTCTTTTAATATAATTCGAAATATTTAATACAAAAATTTTGACAAGAAAACACAAATTTGTCTATACTATGCAGCAATTGTTTCGAGAATTCTATCACACAGGCTGCAATGAGGAATCGCAAAAAATATTTCGTTCCGGAGTAATAAAATATAAATGCGCAAGTGCTGCTTGTTTGCGAGGTTTCGCACTTCGCTGGACGGATTTTTGCACGGATGTTTGTCTCTTAGGTGCGCGCGGCCGCGCACTTTAATTAAGAGACGACACATGTGTTGTTGCGTGTCACGCGAAACCACCTCCTCGGGGAGGCGATAAACACCGAACTGCAACCGTACGGCGAATTGCTCACGTGTGCATTTTCACGCACCTGCCGATATTAGTCTGACAGGTGTTGGTCGCCTTCGCGCGTTTGCGACACGTCAAATAAGCGGCATTCCATTCTGCGCGTCGCGTCATTTACGCGACGTTCGGCCTATATAACATTATTAATTAGTTATTTTTCCTCGGAAAAAAAATAATAAGTGCGACGTTGTAATTGTCCCCCGAAAAATTTTGACATTTCTATTATGCGTCAGCTGTTTCACTTCCCGCGTCAAGATATTTAATTAAAAAATTAAATATATTATATATAATATAATTATTTATAATATGTAATTAAATATATTATGTAAAAATTAAATATATTAAATAAAAAATTAAATATTATTAAATACAGAATGTCTGGTTGTTCTTGAAATTCTTGAAGGCCTTGAAATTAGAAGGACAGTTCAGACTATTCGAGTAAAAAATATTTTATCCTACTTTCTATACTGAAAAAGTAATTTAGTTAATTCTTATAAGTATTTATTCTAATACTGTCAAATAAATCATATATTTGAAACTAATAATATTGATTTGATATGAAAAATATTTATTTGTTTCAAATAAATGATTCTCATTTGACAGTATTGAACTAAATTTTTGTTAATTCAACAAATTTTTTTTCAATGTAATAATGCAATATATTTTTTATTTAGGAGTCCACAAAAATGTGTTACGCATAAGTTATTTATAGATTTGAAGCGTTCACATATAATATAAGAGAATATGGTATGTAAAATTTGTAACGCATATATTAATTTTATAATTATGGACTTGATAAAGAAAATAATGGTTTCAGTTTCTTGTACATTTTAATTATATACTGATTGGAAAATTGTAAACAAATTTCCTTGAAATGTCCTGGAAATGTCCTTAAATTTTATTTTCAAATTTTAATAGACACCCTGTAAATATTATTAAATATTATTATAAATATATAAATATAATACAATATATTATTATTAAAATATATAAATATATAAAATATGTATACATGCACGGAGAGAATTTTTCGTGATATTTCTAATTCTAATAAAAAAATAAATAAAATTCACTACAAATTTTATCATATTTGGTCAAATCGAAAATTATCATGAGCAATTAAGTTAGATTGAAAACATGTTTTTGTGATATTAATATTTTTTATTGTGATAACTATCAATTAGAGAAATTCTCATAAAATTCTTTCCAAATTGTGTCCCACAATTACCATGATTTTCAGGATAAATTCTAAGAGAAAATTCTCTCTGTATGTATAATATTAAAAATAATAAACATATATAACAAATGTACATAGAAATATATTTTATATTATATATCAGAGAGAGAGTTGTTATAGACAGAGAAATCATTAATCGATGTAGGCGTCCTACTTCATCATTTCCGAGACTATTCATCAATCTTGAGTCGATTCTACTTTAATAAAAATTTTTATTAGGTAAAGCGAAATCTCACTTCATTTTACTTAAACAAAAATCATCGAATGCATTAAAAGTATAAAAAAACGAAAAAAATATGCGCAGGTTTTACTTGTTTTCCAGTTATTTTACTCGCAATTCTCTCTGAGAGACACATTTTGATATTTTATATAAAAATATTGTCTCGTTGTACATTGAATTGGACCCACTGGGAATAGTTCGGTCGCGGATTTTTACATAAGTTTTTACTTTGTAAAAGTCGCTTTACGGTACGCGAGCACAACCGGCGATCGGTTCCGTAATAGTCTTCCCGAATCGCCGGATTATAACGGGTGTCGTAAACGGCATGGATATCTGCTCCACTGATCTTTTCACCGAAAGCACATTAATATAAGTGGTCTTACCGGATATGTTTTTCTCTTTTGTTACAGTAAATCTGGCGGATAGCGGAAGCCAGAAAGTCGATATGACAGACTTTGACATACTGAAAATCCTTGGCACTGGAGGTAAGAGATTCGATCATCGAGCTTATTTTTTATTATTTTATTTTATTATTATTATTTTATTTTTATTATTATTGTATTTTATTATTATTATTTTATTTTTATTATTTTATTTTATTTTATTTTTTTTTTAAAGACACGATTCATCTTCAGGCTTACTTATAATAATCATAGAATTGGGTAACTAGTTAATTAGTTAAAAGTTAAAAAAGTTAATAATTTAGTTTAGTTAATTTAAAATATATTAATTTTGAACTTTAACTAGTTATTTTTGACTTTAAACTTATTAACTTTCTTCCCAAGTTAAATTTTTTTTATCTCTGAATACCATTATTCTTTTTATAAGTTAAACCTATTATTTTTAAATTAAGTGTTATTAATTTTTATGTTCATTTGTCATCAGTTGTAATCACCAAAAATATATTTCTACATAAAAATCAAAATTCTGACTTAATATAAATGTTTTTAAAAATTAACTTTTGGTTTAACTTGAGTCAATTTAATCTTAACTTTCATCGAGTTAATTTTTTATTCATGCAACTTCTAACTTAACTAATTTTATGAGCAACAACTAACTTTAACTCAACTTAGTTAAAAAAAAAAAATCATTAACTCACTCAACCTTGATAATAATATACGTTCAATAATATATCTACATTAAATATCTTATAAAATATTCACGTTGAATTATACTTATTATATTACTATTTATAGAATGTATGCTGTATCAAAAAATTTTCATCTATGATATATCATTTATATGTGTATTATAAATATGAAAAATCAAAGATGTATCAATGTCACAGCTTACGGGACAGTCTACCTGGTGCGAAAAAGAATGGGTGCGGACTGCGGTCAACTTTACGCCATGAAGTTACTGAAAAAGGCTTCCATCGTGCAGAAGAAGAAGACGACAGAGCACACGAAGACCGAGAGGCAGATCCTGGAGGCCATCCGAGACAGTCCTTTTTTAATAACTCTGTACTACGCGTTTCAGACTAATGAAATGCTCTGTTTAATCTTAGGTAAGCTTCGACGAGAAATTATAAGCAAAATAAGAAAAAAAATTAATAAATATAGCAATTATAGAAATGGATAAAGTAGATTATTTTATTTATTATATATGATAAAAATATCAAAATGTTGAAAAAGCAATCATAATAATTAAAATGATTAAAACGATAAAAATAATTGGTACAATAAAAAATATTTATTTTGCCTGGCAAAATATTATCTATAGTATTATATTATATCATATAATTATATTATATTATATTATGTATTATATAACATTATATAATATTATATATTATATTACATTATATATTATATATTACATTATAATATATTATATCATATAATATTATATTATATATTTATCAATTAAAAGCAAAACAAAAATACCGTGAAATTCGGATGCAGGAGAGAATTTGGACAAAATATTTTTTTCCACTTGCAGATTATGTTCCTGGTGGTGAGATGTTTACGCATCTGTATAACACTCAATTTGCGGAGAGAGAAGTACGAATTTACGTCGGCGAAATTGTTTTGGCGCTAGAACGTCTCCACGAGGTATGTATTAATAACAAAATATAATAATAATAATAATATGCATAAACAAATAAGCTATTTTTAAAAAAATATTTTATCGGTTCTCCATGTACAAGACAAAAATAATAGTAAAGTATTTTTCGCTTTAATTCCTGACAAGTTTTTTTTTATTAAAATTTTAAATTTATTAAATTTAATTAAAAAATCAATTTAATTTAGTTTAAAATGTAATAGTTGGTTTATATTAAAAATATAATTAACGAATCTCTCTCTCCGTTTTGTCGCAGCTTGGCATAATCTATCGAGACATCAAGCTCGAAAATATTCTGCTGGATAGAGATGGGCATCTCGTATTGACGGATTTTGGTCTCAGCAAGGAATTCTTGCCGCACGAGAGGAACGGCAACGCACGCACTTACTCATTTTGCGGAACCATCGAATACATGGCCCCGGAAGTGGTGCGAGGGGGTTCCAGCGGCCACGATATTGTAAGTTATCATGAGATCTGTTTACACCAGCGGATCCCTCAAGTTGATTACGGAGGGTTTCTACAAAATTATATTTGATTAATAATGAAAATATTTTCGCAAATCGGATTTATGATGATTTTTCAATTTTTTGGCTTACAAATAATTAATTTTAATGATTAATTATTAAATAATTAATGTAATTAATTTGAACTTAATAATGAAATTTTTATGGTAATATTTTTGGTGACGTGTTGTTGAAAAGCGATAAAATGTGGGATATTAAATCAATTTTCGGAAGAAAAATTAATTTCAAATTTTAATAGTTGCGAAATATGTAAGTAAATAAAATATGTGTAAGTGAAAATGAACAGAGGTTTTATTACACACAATTATAATTATAGAATTACAAGAAAAACAGTTTCAATAATACGGTAATAAATAATAGATTTAATCTCTAGTAACAATTCAATAAACGAAACATTCTATTTAATTAAATTTACAATTATTTTTGTAAAATAAAACAAATTTGTCAAATATACTCCTCGAGTTCGAAGGCAAGCTAAAGTTCAGCTCACCCTGTATATATAGGTTCGATAATAATGTACAGCCGCATAAAACATTCAACTTTGATTCATTCCATTTCAATTGTAATCAATGTTTACTGTTATCTAAATAAAATTATATAGATGATGATCTAGATAAAACTTTGGCATCTTATTTTTATGTAGATAATACAAATATGTATTATCTTTACTAAATTATCTAGAATAATTTTCAGATAATTTTGGTTTAGAATCATAGCACATACAAAAATACTTAAATAGTAAAACTTAGGCAGTAAGCGATAAAAATTTATAAATAAAAATATGAATACGTATATTTTTATATCCCTTTCATAATTTACATAAGCAGTCTTAAAAATTATTATCTAGAATCTAGATGAATCGCCATATAATTGTATCTTTTAGAAGATATATTTTAAACAAAATCATCTTGATCTAGCTAATTTAAAAAAATCGTCTAAACACAACACTGATTGTGTTGTATTCATTGATCACCAGAACGATAAACTAAAATAACATTCTCATATAAAATATTCTCGCAGGCTGTCGACTGGTGGAGCGTGGGTGTGCTAACATTTGAATTACTGACCGGCACGTCGCCTTTCTCCAAGGATGGCTACAACACCCAGCAGGAGATCTCGAAGAGGATCCTGAAGGACGATCCACCGCCGAAGCCGAGTAACCTGAGCGACACCGTGTGGGACTTCATCACCCGCTTGCTCGTCAAGGATCCGCGACAGAGGCTGGGCGGCGGGCCACGTGACGCGAAGGAGCTCAAAGAGCATCCGTTTTTCATGGACGCCGCGCCGGATTTCACCTGGGAGGCTCTGGAGAATAAGCGGATCAAACCGCCCATCGTTCCGGTGATCAAGCACGAATTGGACACCAGCAACTTCTCCGACGAATTCACAAACATGAACGTTGCCGAGAGCCTGGCGCGACTCATCAACGGCAACAATACTATCGAGAAGCATTTTAGGGTAAATTCTCTTACGTCCTGCTTCCGTTTTATCGAAGATGAAAATTTGACAATTGCTAGTTACTAATTGTAAGATTTAGATATGATATAATATATTTTATATATTTAATAATATAATACAACATATTATTTAATATATATATATATATATTATTAAAATATAATAAAATATCTTATTTTATATATTTATATTATAATATATTTAAATATTGTAATAAATAATATTTTTAAGAAATTCTTAAAACATTTTAGTTCTCGCCTTCGGCTCGTGCGTCCATCCTCCGCACTCGTGACCAATTGTCAACTTTCCGCACTTGATACACAATATACTATTATCTACTTAATATATTTTTCTTAAAAATAATATTCTTCAGAAATTCTTCAAACATTTGTCACAAGTGTAATAATTTTCCAGGGTTATTCGTACGTCGCGCCTTCGATACTATTCAGCGACAACGTGGTGAGCAGAGACATCTTCGGCAACAAGCCATTCCTCGGGTTGGGCTTGCTTCACGGGCACCAGCCGCGGCCTTCTTTCTCCTCCTTGCACGAGATCCGTTTCGACGAGTCCACCTTCTTCCAGACTTACGAGCTGGACCGAACCGGGCCGAGCCTGGGTCACGGCAGCTTCTCGATCTGCCTGCGATGCCGGCACCGCGACACCCGGCAGGAGTACGCCGTGAAGATCATCAGCAGGCGGGTGGACTGCGACCGCGAGGAGAACGTGCTGCGCGCCTGCCAGCGTCACTCGAACGTCGTGAAGCTCATCGAGGTTCACCACGATCGGCTGCACACCTACATCGTCATGGAGCTGCTCGCGGGCGGAGAGCTGTCGCAGCGACGGCGACCCTTCTCCGAGTGGCAGGCGAGGCGAATAATGCGGCAGCTGTCATCCGCATTGCGGTACATGCACTCGAACGGTATCGTGCATCGCGACCTCAAACCGGAGAACATCATCTTCTTGCATTCAGGCGAAGATTCTCCGGTGAAGATCGTGGACTTCGGCTTCGCCAGGATGAAGACCAACTGCGAGCCGCTGCGGACGCCCTGTTGCACCTTGCCGTACGCCGCCCCGGAGATCGTAGCCAGACAGGGCTACGACGAGAGTTGCGACATGTGGTCCCTCGGGACCATCCTCTATTTCCTGTTATCCCCGAACGATCCGCCCTTCCGGATGGACCTGCCCGACCTGGCGAACCGCATCAAGACCGGCGAGATCGACTTCGACGCTTGGACCCACGTCTCTCCCGGCGCGATCGACGTGATGAAGGGTCTGCTGATAATCGAGCCGAAGCACAGACTCACCGCGAGGGATCTCAAGTACCATCCGTGGATAGTGGCGACGACCAAGGACGCGTTGCTGCCCCCGATGACGCCCATTCACGACGTCGTCGTCGTTGCGAATCACGGGGATGCCGCGGCTAGCAGCTCGACGGAGCAGCGCGAGAGCTTCCGACTGCGCGCGGTGGACGCGGCAAAGCTGGCGCAGCGTCGCAAGAACAAGCGTTCCACGTCCAGCTCGTCCTCGCGACCGTCCTCCTCCTCCTCGAGTCCTCCGCTGTCGTCGAACCAGCCGTTGCGTCCGGCGAGCGCCCAGGCGAGCACCGCGAACCACACCTCTTCCACCTCGTCGCCGAGCGTCTTCGATTACACCGACGAGGTCGTGAGCGAGTACCTGAGCTCCCTATCCTCCTCTTCTTCCTCCGACAATTCCAAGTCCTCCGACAACTCTCCGTTGACGCACTCGCTTCTGCAGAAGCGAGCGCTGGAGGATTCCAAGCGCGGATATGAGTCCGCGGATCGGCCCAAGAAGCGCCGTCGCCGCGACGACGCCGACAGCGACAACAGCAGCAGCAGCGGGCCGATGACGCGGTCGCGTAGACGCAAGCTGGAACAGCTGGCGAGCCCGAGCGGCGGGGACGCCGGTTCCGACGTGTCCGTGGAGTCCTACGAGAGCTCGCCCTCGCGAAGCGAGGAGCAGGATGAGGAGGCGAGCCTCCACAGAAAGCACAAGGCCGGCAAGCGGTCGAAACGGCTTCCCACGATTACGGTCGAATAGACTCTTCTTCCTATTTACCGTGCCCGGTCCAAGCAGTTCTTATCCTACTTCCTAGGCATTTTTACACGGTTTGCCTTCGGCGTTCGTGGACAAGACGCGAACGGCGCATCATTCCTATTCACGACAGTTTTAGCCAATATCATATGTGTATATATAATAGTATATTGTGTATCAAGTGCGGAAAGTTGACAATTGGTCACGAGTGAACAATTGTCAATTCGCACTTGATACACACGATATTTTGTATTACAAGTGCAGGCAAAGTGGCTTTGTGCGCGTTTTCTGTGCGCGAGGTGGCCGATCGCACGCCGCCATCTTGCGACGGCACGGTGCGGGAATAGCCGTGTTCAAAGTCATTGTCCACGGCTGAAGCCGTGGGCAATGACTTTAAACGCGACTCAGCCGTAGGCAATGGCTTTGAATGCGGCTTATTCACTCACCGCGTCGCCGCTAGATGGCGGCGTGAGAAATCGGCCGCTTTCCGCACAAAAAACACGCACACAAAGTACCACTTTGCCTGCACGTGTAATACAAAATTAATTACATAATAACTAGATGCCATCTCCTCTCTCTCTCTCTATCTATTTCTATCTCTGTCTTTCTTTATTATCGACATTTCTTATGTAAATGATGATTGCGTCAACGCATGTTTTTTATGTGCTGTTCAAAGATGCTGATACATGAGAAATGTGAAGGAATATCGTATTAATTTAGATCAGTCTCGGTGAATAAGCATTGACATTTCTCCACAAGAGAGTTCACTCAGAGAATATGTACAAAATGTTATTTTTATTACCAGCTACGAAGAGAGAGTGTAAGATGGGCGAGTAAGATGATGATAATGATTTTTGTTACGTTAAACGGGGGTTGTCTGTGATTATAATGCGAGGTGAATACGCATTAAGTTATTATAGCTTATACGATAAGTTATTCTAACTTATTATATTACACGCTCCTGTTAAAATTTTCTTCCGTCGTCATTTCTTGCGATCCTAACGAAACTGACGAAGACGATCGACGAGCCAAATACTGAAGAAAATTTTAGCGAACGCTTACGATGACTGTATATGTGGTGAATGTGCCTAAGAAAACTCATTTCGCTATGAGTACATTAAATTAATGTACTAGAAGTTAGTGACGCATGACATGTGAAAATAATAAAAGCATCTGTTATTTTCGCCAGTGGTAACTTAACGAGGAAAGGAACAAGAAAACATTGAGTTTGCCTTAAAGAAAGAATAATCGTACTTTCCTCTTTTACGAATAACGTACTTGAAAATAATGACGTGTTTGTACAGTTTTAAAAAATATTATTTAATCTTTTAATTTAGTATTTAGTAAGTAATTATTTGTAATATAGAGAAAAAGGAAGGGAAGAAGCTATTTAAAAAAAATGAAAAAAAAAACAAGCCGAACGAATTTTCGGTAAAAATAACAGATGTTTCTGTTAACAGATTCCATTAATTAATATAATCAAAGTGTTGCGTGAAGAATTATAACGAATTCGGTTGGATGCAATAGTGTACACTGATGCACATTAAAGGTCGGCACACAAATCTACAATGATATAAACAATTAAAAAGAAAATACTACTAAGAGCTAATATATTACGAATAATATAATAATAATAATAACTCGTACTATTATATCTTGCTGTTTTCATTATATATCTATTATAAATTTGTGTATAATTACCTTTAATGCGCACCAGTGCGCTCTGATGCAACCAATCGAATTTCACCATTAGATTTGATTAAGTAAATTTATAATTTTGATGTATTTATCGATTAGTGACCGATTTAATACCTTTCTAATCTAATTTGATATTATATTTTCGAAAATGTAGAATATTTAACAAGTGAGAGAACGCGGATATTTTTCCTCTGCACACAGTGTTTCGTTACAAAGGACTGAGGCGAAATCTATTTAATAATAATGTATACAGAACAATTTGTGTTTTTGGTCTTGAATTTTTGTTTACTTTATTAGGATATTGCTGTATTTATATTGTGAGACCGCTGTCTCATCGGATGAGTGGCAATTGTTTTGAGAGGTGAACATAACAAAATGGCAAAGACTGATATGTGGTTGTAGATTCACTCAGGGAACAGATGCGTGTTAATTGAATAACTTGTCTCGTGTTATATCTTATATTGAAATAGCGTTATGCGAAAAAAAGCATGCATCCATGCTTCTACCAAAGATGACTGAAGCAACACTGCTCTTTATAAGACCAAAAAAAAAAACACAAAAGTATGATATGTAGCGGCGAAAAATGATGTACATATATATATTATCGGAAAAATTTTTCATTACATTATAGTTACTATGTAAAAGAAAACTATTTAAGACGAGGAAGGTGCAGATTATATCTATATATTTAAGAGGAAGCATTTCGCTAGAGAGAATCATATTCTTTAAGAAAAGAGAGAAGAGATATATACATATATATTATATATTTCTATGTAGACTCATACACACGAAAAAGTCATTAAATCTTATAAGTTACATAAGTTATCTGAAAACAGAACAAATCGATTTTTTCTAGTGATATATCACTTGTTACGTTACGAACGCTCTTTCGAAGTTTGTAGATAAAAAAATAATATATATATATATTATATATATATAGAAAGTTATACAAGCGAAAGAGCTTGCTGTTCTGTTGCTATAAGTACGTAAAAGAGACACCTACCTTTGTTACCACTGGTTGTTAAATATATCATGCAATATTTTGTATAAAAACGTAGCTGTGTTATTGTTTCAAGATCACTGTTCCTGTATCGTTTCGTTTAAGAAATTATAAACATATACTCCAAATTTTTCATTATATGTATTATAAGTTGTTGCTTTAAAAATATTTAAACGAGGTAAAAATATTATGCACTTCCATTTAATTCTATAATAAATTTGAAAAGCGATTGTATTTCAATAATTTAATTCATTAAACTAAATAATATTTAAAAATAAATGTAATATTGAATTTGAGAACGTATAGTGATGCAATCGATTTCAGGAGACAGGATCAGGTAAATTGAAATAAAAATAAACTCCGTGATACATCAATTGTTTCATTATTAATTAATCTACATAAATTAAATTTTTTGTATAATTTTATAATTAAAAAAAAGTCGTCTTTATTTTTTCGCACTTAATTTCTCGCTCATTAGTTCTGAATTTACATTAAACATTGCACTCAAAAAATTGCATCATAGTACAATTATAATTAATAGATCAGCATAATGTGTATATTTAAGTGACAATTTAACGCCAATTGAATATTCCCGCCTAATTATAATTATTAACTAATCCATATAATTTAATTTTATATTTATATTTTATAATATAATTTATATAATTACAAAGAAAGTTACCTTTATTTTGTTGCACTTAAATTTCTCTTTGCTTCTGAATTACATTATATTGCATTCAAGAAATGGTATCTTAGTACAATTATAATTATAATTAATAGATCATAAAATAATGTATATATTTAAGAAAAGACAATTTAGCGACAATTGAATAATCCTGCCGGATTAATTATTAATTAATCCATATAATTTAATTTATAATATAATTTATACGATTACAAAGAAAGTTACCTTTACTTTGTCACACTTAAATTTCTCGCTCTTCCTGAATTTACATTATTCAAGAAAACTCATCGTAATACAATTATAATAATAAATCACAGAATAATATATATATATATATATACGTATATTATTTATAATATAATATATAATTATATTTTATATATATATATATATATATATATATATATATATATATATATATATATATACAGGGTAGGCCATTTTAATCTTTCCACTAAAATTTCTCAAAATCCAAAAGTTTAAGACAAAAATGTTTCAGATAAAAGTTGTATGGTTTCAAGGGGGACATGAGATGGTGTCATTGATTTGACCTTGAATAGCCATTTGAAGGTTACGTGAAGGTCAACTTCAATTTCTTAAATGGAACACTATATTTTTTCTTGCATACTTTTGTAGCTGACTTCGAGATCTTTCCAAAACACTATAATCAAATGTTTTTCATGAAGTATTTTTCGAGTTATTAAGGCTGCAAATTTGCAGTATTTTGACATAAAATACAAAATATCTTGGGAAATATTCATTTTTCGATTATCATACCTTAATACTTTTATGCACAGAATAATGAGACGAATCAATTGGTGTAAAGAAAACACATAGTTGTTTTAAATAAAAATTATCTAACTGCTTATTGCAATTTTCATATTTTTTTTAAAGGCAACTGTGTTTTCTTTACACCAACTGATTCATCTCATTATTCTGTGCATAAAAGTATTAAGGTATGATAATCGAAAAATGAATATTTCCCAAGATATTTTGTATTTTATGTCAAAATACTGCAAATTTGCAGCCTTAATAACTCGAAAAATACTTAATGAAAAAATATTTTATTGTAGTGTTTTGGAAAGATCTCGAAGTCAGCTACAAAAGTATGCAAGAAAAAATATAGTGTTCCATTTAAGAAATTGAAGTTGACCTTCACGTAACCTTCAAATGGCTATTCAAGGTCAAATCAATGACACCATCTCATGTCCCCCTTGAAACCATACAACTTTTATCTGAAATATTTTTGTCTTAAACTTTTGGATTTTGAGAAATTTTAGTGGAAAGATTAAAATGGCCTACCCTGTATATATTTAAGAAAGTGACAATTGAATATTCCCGCGTGATGACGTGACGTCGGGTCGCGCGGCGACTGGCCGCGCGTGACTTTGACAGCGAATCAGCTGACGCGTCATTGCGCGCGCTCGCCGGCGGCACGGCTCGCGATTGGCCGGTTCCGCGGCGTCGGCTCGCCTCGGCGACCAATGGGGAGGCTCGGCGCATCGTCTCGCTTAATGGCGGCGCGAAACCCGGCTTGTGATGTGGCGTCATCGTGTACTCTGACCGTTGGCTGCGCTGTTCCTGACTACCAATAGTGCGCATTTAGTTAGCTGCGAGGTGTGTGCGAGTGCGATCCGATCGCGGCAGAGATCCAGGTAGAGAGCGAGGCCAAGTTCTCCAGGTAAACCTCTCGACCTTGTGCACCATGTCGACGAAATCGAGCAAGAAGACGGCGGCGGCGGCGGCCGCCGCTGCCGCGGCCGCGGCGGCGTCCTCGGCGGCGACCGCCGCCTCGTCCTCGTCGAGCAGCATCCAATCGCCCCCGAGCACGTCGACGCCGATCGTCAGCCGGCGACCCGGCAGCCCGCTCAGCCCTACGAGGTACTCCCGGCTCCAGGAGAAGCAGGACCTCCAGAATCTCAACGACCGGCTGGCATGCTACATCGAAAAGGTGCGCCACCTCGAGACCGAGAACTCCCGGCTGACCCGGGAGGTGCAGACCACCCAGGAGACGGTCACCCGGGAGGTGACCAACATCAAGGCCATGTACGAGCACGAGCTCTCCGATGCACGGAAGCTCCTCGACGACACCGCCAGGGAACGGGCCAAGCTCGAGATCGACACCAAACGCCTCTGGGATGACAACGAGGACTTCAAGAGCAAGTAAGGATCTTTATTTCGATATATTCCGCAGACTTGGAATTCAAGTCGAAAAAAAAAACAATGTGAATTTTTTCTTTCAAAAATAGGTGCAACGTTAATCAGGATTAATATCGTCGCAATTGAGAATCTTGCGACATCTTGAGTTCGCTGCGTCTCCATGAATGTGAAACTTATATACAGGGTGTATCCAAATAAAGTGACAAATTTTCGATGATTCTCTGTCGAAAATTAAGGGGGGTTTCTTATATAAACATATACTTTTATATCTTTCTCCGAGGAGGGAGGTGAACATTGAGTTTTTATTTATTTTTTTTTTTTCTTAAAAACTATTGATTTTATGAAGAAAATAAAAGGCACAAAAAAGTTTTTAAAGATATCAAACTTTCTAACGCATATTTTTAGATAATTATATTCCGGTTCGTTAAAAAGTTCTGGTAAAAAATTAAATAGGGGTTGTTAGTTTCATCTCCTTATAACGATGCAGGAAGATCGAAAAAATATTAATAAATATTCTTTTTATTAGTGGAAAATATCCACCAAGTTTCATTTTTTAAATTTGTTTCAAATTTGAGAAAAAAAAATAAAAACTTAATTTTTGTGTACATAAGAAACCCCCTTAATTTTCGACAAAAAATAATCTAAACTTTTTCGCACTTATTTAAATGCATCCTGTATATAGAAGTCCCTTTTGATGTAGAAATTTTGATCCTGTTTTAAGTTTTGTATTCGTATCCTATTGTTGTTTGAAAATAATTGCTCGGATTTCAATGTTATCGAGCCCGAGACATTTTGTTTGCATTATTTCTGATTGATTATGAAAATACCAGAGAGATAGCGATCTATATATATATAATCTCATTTTAGATCATCAAGTCGGATTCTGTATTTTTTATCTTTCTCTCGAGTTATACTTTATTAGTGGAATCTTGCATGAGATCTCACATGATTATGCGTGTTCCATACACATTTTCATATACAAGATATGTATGTGTACACATATGCATATCTATAATCGAGTGTATATCTATAATCTGTATTTTAAATATCTCAGACCGGCCTCTCCCTATTCTTAAATTCAATCTCTGTAAAGTGTATGCATTTTTTTCGCACGTGGTTTTCCCACTATTTATATTCAATATTATTTACTACGAGTTTAATTTTATGACACATAGGAATGCAACATATAACTGAATATAACATGAATAATTTATATGATGGAGATTAATGTTGCTTGAAATAACGATGACATGAATTTAGAATCAACTATATTTATATATAGTGAATTCTTGCATATTTTAACATAACATGTACACTTGTTTTGATCTTCAATTATTATTACTTATTAATCAATAATATATATTATAATTATTTATTATTTATTAATATTTTAAATATATTTATTTATTTTTATAAATATATTATAAATATATTTATTATAAAATAAATAAATATAATTATTTATTTTTGTAATATAAATATATTTTTCATTAATAATTAATAATTATTTATCAATTGATTATCAAACTTTTGTTGTTGTATATCAATATTATTTTGATGTTCAGATGGATGTAAAGGAAATCAGAGTGTTTTCTTTTTTCTCAAATTTATACATACATATACACATACAAAATGTTTACATCGCCTTTGTGAATATTATGGACTATTAGTCATATTCGCTTTTATATTCTATTCTATAATTTCTAGAGAATTATCCGATAAGAATTGTCATTGAAAAATTGCACACGTGCGTCTATCTGTTTTCTGACATTTCTCTGCTGATGTGTCACATAGATAGCAGACAGGTTTATTTTGCATAGCTGTTGAGAAATTAAATAATATTACATGTGTCATACGTATTTTGGGACATTTTATGCCGTGGTTTCATATTTTGTCCAATATTTTGCACATGTGCAAGCTCTGAAAAAATTGAAGGACGATGAAATGAAGGATATAACGCGCGACGAAAGATAAAATTAGATCAATGTGGAATCTTAGCAACGTGCATTTAGAAGGACGCTTAATATTCTCAACCTATGTTCGATCGATACTTTTGCCATTCTGTTATCTGTTCGCCTCATCGTGATGTTCAATAGTATCCTATAAACGCCCTTAATCCATTCGCTGCGAAAGACTCATCAGTTAAGAGGAATCGATATCTGTTAATTACCAATCTTCAGATTAGATTAATCGGTGGATGATTCGATGATGGTTCGTCATGTGCCATTAATAGAATGTATGTTTGTCAACAGCAGATTTTAAATGATATATCAATTGGTTTTATTAATAATGCAATTCATTCATCTGTCAAATAAAAATTAATAAATTATATTCAAAATATGGATTATAATGAAAAATATAAAGAAATTAAGATATAAAATTAACAAATTTGATCAAAAGACTTATTTTCTTTTTTAAAATGGTTTTTGCTGAAAATATATTATTTATTAACAAAAGATGTAACAAGATAAATTGAGGGAAATATTAAATTTAAAAAATATACGAAGTACATCTGTCAACTTCATCTGTCAAACAAAAATTATAAATTATATTCAAATAATGGATTATAATTAAAAATATAAAGAAATGAAGATATAAAATTAACAAATTTGATCAAAAGATTAAGACTTATTTTCTTTTTTAAAATGGTTTCTGCTGAAAATATATTATTTATTAACAAAAGATATAGCAAGATAAATTGAGGAAATATTAAATTTAAAATATATACGAAATACATCTGTCAACTTCATCTGTCAAAAAAATTATTAATTATATGATATATAAAAAAATATAAAGAAATGAAGATATAAAATTAACAAATTTGATCAAAAGATTAATACTTATTTCTTTTAAAATGGTTTCTGCTAAAATATATTATTTATTAACAAAAGATATAGCAAGATAAATTGAAGAAAATTAAATTTAATATTACACTAGCTATAAAAAATGCTAAATATATGAATCTTACGAAAATATTTGCAATGGAAATAAGAAGTTTTTTATCACGGATTATTTAAGTGTGAACAATTTTCGGATGTACTCATAATATTATAAGTAGAATTTTTATCACGGATTATCTAAGTTGAATTCGGAGTCATCGCTTTAAATGATCTACAATTCACGACAGACAATTCTATTTATAATTTTCGACGCGCAATTTTTTTTGTATATTTATCTACAGTCTGCGTGTTCCGATTTTTCAAATATTTATTTTTTTATGCATAAAGAGAATTTTCTTTTAGAATTTACCCTGAAAATCTTGATCATTGTGGGACAATATATATTAGAAAAATTTTATAAGAGTTTCTCTAATTAAAAATATTTATCACAATAAAAAATATTAACATGTACATAGTAAAATTAATCAAACATATTTTACTTATAAAAATTCTTCCAATCTGTGCTACATCCAAGAAGTGGGAGTTTAACATTAAAAAAAAATCTCAAATATATTCTCCAATATATTTAAATCCCCACACTGAAAAAAAGATTAAATTAATACATATTTAATTCAGTACTGTCAAATGAATCATGTATTTGAAACAAATAAATATTTATCATATCAAATAAATATTATTAGTTTTAAATAAATGATTCATTTGACAGTATTGAGAAGTAAAGACTTACAAGAATTAACTAAATTTGTTTTTGCAGTGCAACCAGTAATATTTTGACGAAGTTGTGTCTTAAAAATAGGTGAAAAAAAAAAAAAGACCGAGGGTGTCCGGCGTAGGAAGGAAATGCTTTTCGGCGTGTCCACGAGAAGCATGAACGGAGGCCGGGCCCCGGTGACGTTTCTACAAGCGATTGCGTCACGCTTACTATGTGGCGATGATGTCAGCGGGCGCGACGTCGTATCACCTGACCTAAAAACATTGACTCCGTTCCGCCACGTTCTGTGTGTACACACATCCGGCGTGGCTTTTTATTTCACTGAATGAAGAAGGAAGAGAGAACCGATCGATCCGTACGAGAGTGAAACTCGCAGAAACTTTTACTGTTGTAGTTTCAACCCTTTATTCCGCCCATTGTGGGGATTAATCAGTAGCTTAAGGGGGAACTACACTTTGAAGTCAGAAAGTCTTTGTTCATTATTTTTCGGACACATCTTTCGTTGAAATGTTATTCATTGGGGATTTAAATGTGTATATATTAAGCAATATATTTTATTATTAGATATACATATAAACACATTATAGGAATCGCTGCACACCGAGCAGAGGCTTCCATTGGCTTACCATTTTGTTCGCATTTAATTTATCTGGGGAGAAAATTTTATATTTTTTATCTATATTGGTGTAGTTTCAGTTAAATGCACAAAAATTAAATTATAATAATTTTTGGAAAAATGACAGACTTTGAAACGATTAAAAAATGAGTATATTTTGGAGTAAAAAAATAGTAAAACTACTTTATATAACTTCTATTTTATCTTAATGAAAAACAATAGTTTTTTAATAAAATTAATATAAATACACAATATGAATATGCAGATAAAAAAGATTTGGTAAACAAAATTTTATCCTTTTTATTCGCGCGAAATAAACACGCGAAATTGCACTTATTATGCACGAGCGACAATTGCATGCGCTTAAAGTAATTGTAATGCTTAAGGTGTGTCTCAATTACAACTTGCGATCAGTGTAAAGAACTACCTTAGGGTTTCATGTCGACGAGGAATTACGGTGTTCCTTGATATACCGTTACTGTTGGAATGTTTGACGATCCAACCAGCAAGTTTTCCCGTAAAGCATTTGTCAAGTCCGGTTTTACCTGAGGTAGAGAAGATTCAGGAATGCTCCTTCGATTTTTCTTTCATCGGTGACGCACCTGCATCTTGCATTTTTATCGTACATGTCTCTTCTCTCGAATTTCAAAAGATTTTTTTACCGCGAAATAAAATCGGAGTACTTTTGTATACCGGAAAATTATTTATTAATTGAAATATCGCATTAAATATTATTAATACAATATTTTTTAAATATTGATTTATATTATTTATAATATTTTTATAATATTTATATTATTTATATTATTTATATTATTTAATATTTATATTATTTATAATATTTATATTATTTATAATATTTATATCATTTATAATATTTATATTATTTATAATATTTATATTATTTATAATATTTACATTTATAAAATATACATATATAAAATATTGATTGAAATAATTTTTGTTGCAGGTTTATTTTCATACAAAAGATCGTATTTTTGGCAATGTCATTTTAATGACAGGATTTATCAATAACATCTCGCGACTCGGTTATCGTTTACAGACAATACCGTATTGTATTCGTTATCGTGGCTCTTTTGTCTCTTTGTTTTCGTATCTAAGAACCAGAGAGAAAAAAAGGAATTGTGTCAGCGACCAAAATTATTCTTTATTATGCGGCTCTTAATTATGCCTTCAGCATTCACAAATTTAGTGGTCCTTGGACACATTAAAAAAATGTGATGACGCAAGTGCTTCTTAATAATCGAAGAACGCGAATACTTAAAATTGAAATTTTATGGTAATTTTACCTGCGTAGGATTCGCAGAGTTATATCGCGAAAGTTTTTTATTTTTCAAAATTAATATTTTTGAAGTTTCGTGTGTTTTCCTGAATCTTATACGAAAAACGGTGCAGGTTTAAAAAAAATAAATATAAAATTAAAATAACGAGAGAAAATTGCACTGAAAAAAATTTAGTTAATTCTTATATAAGTATTTATTTCAATGCTGTCAAATAAATCATTTATTTGAAACTAATAATATTTATTTGATATGAAAAATATTTATTTGATATAAGAAAATCCTTTTTATGCACAAAACAAATAAATATTTATTTGTTTCAAATAAATAATTTGTTTGCCAATATTGAACTAAATATGTATTAATTTAGAATTTTTTTCAGTGGTGTTTATAAGAAAAAAAATACTACGTCGAAAAATATAAATTATATCCGTATATTTACAAAAAAATATGATTTAAAATATGGATAATAATAAAAATAATCTACTGAGACATTCTATACAACATTTCTTTAAAGTGTCTTCTTTGAAAAACTTCTCATCATTTTTCACACCAAAAAATAACAAAGGCCTTTCTTGAATTTTTCTTAAAAGAAAAATCTAAAGCGTTCCCTTCAAATCTAAAGTTAAAGTAATCGTCATCCAGTTGCGATGACTGTTCATTAAATAAAATGCACGTTGGTGCATTCCTTATTTTTACGTAATGTCGATGACACGCTTAAATATGATTAATTATCGCTTATGCACATACGTGCAATTATTATGCAATAAAAATTATTGCGAATAAAAATTCAAAACAGAAGTGTTTTTTCATCTGCATATTAATAATCATTCCAATAGAATTATATTAGTGATTATTTCTATTAAATCTTTGTAAAAAGAAATGAGTTTTTTTTATCTGAGAGATAAAATCAAAAATAATATTTATAAGACGAATATAATAATAAAATATTATAATAAAATTTATAAAAACTTATAATAAAATTTATAAAAAATTATAATAAAATATTATGATAAAATTTATAAAAATTATAATAAAATAAAATTTTGTTGCATATTGCTATTTTGCTAATATGATGGAATCAAAACTACATATATATCAACAAATGCATGATGTGATATCTATTTCGAGGTGATAACGATTGCGAATTCTGACATCAGCGGTTTCCAAGATGTTTAAATACTACATTCCGAATCGTCTGAAAAAGCACGTCGTACGAAATCGAGGATGACATCAGATGTCCCTGTGTCTAGTCATTTTACAGCGTTGGTGTTCGTGAAACTCGTAAAACCATTTTTGGAGTCGCGTTCGAAGTTCAAGATTATATTCAAGGTCGCATTTAATATATGATGATTATTAGAGACAAATTTTGAATATCTTAGGACAATTATTTGCTTGAAATTAATATTATTTATGCAAAATTAAGTAAATATCTATTATTTTCATTTTAGATTATAGTATCTAATCTTCAATTATATATTATAATATATATTATATATATATCATAATATCAATCTTTTTAAAAAAATATTTTTTTAAATTAAAATTTTTTAATATTATAATTTTTTAAAATGTTTAATAGAATTTAATAGAAATTATTTCTATTAAATCAATTCATCAATTTCTCTAATAATTTAATAAAAATAATTTCTATTAAATTATTATTTAATAGAAATTATTTCTATTAAATTCCATTAAATATTTTTAAAAATTAAGAAAAAATAGATGTATGAAAGGTATTTATAGGATGGATTGAACAAATTAAAAATAAATATTTTGTACATATTTGTGACATAATCGAGTAATTACAAGATGAAAAATGACGCGTTTAGCTTATCAATCGCACGAGACCGCAATGAAATTTGACGCTTGACATTGTAAAGCATGTAACACTTTCGAAGCATCTCATCCGTCTCATCTCGCTCCGATTCGCGAGGGAAGACGAGGGCGACGACCATCACCCTTTTACTAAGGAACATATAAATCTCGAGATCCCCTGCCTTCCTTACTCGCCGATTGTTTAGAGCAGCGGTGTCCAACCTCGTTGAACATACTTGTAACACATGTTTTTACACATGTTGCACATTTACCAAAATTGAGAGAGTTTTGTAAGACAATGTCAAAGCGAGAATTTATAAATGATATAGAAGTGCATAGTATTATGTGTAAAAAATTAATTTACAAGCAAATTATTTATTTCTATTAATGGAATATTTAATGGAATTTAATAGAAATCATTTCTGTTAAATAATAATTTAATAGAAATTATTTCTATTAAATTAATTCATTAATTTCTCTCTAATAATTTAATAAAATAATTTCTATTAAATTATTTCTATTAAATTCTATTAAATTATTATTTAATAGAAATTATTTTTATTAAATTCCATTAAATATTTTTAAAAAATTTATACCATTGAGAAATGTAGTAAATATATAAAAATTGTATTAACACGATTTAGAAAATGTAATATTTTTATTATATTTAATGCAACTTTTTTCGCGAAATATTGAATATAATTGACGTAAATAATGTACATCGATTAATGAGACTAATACAATTAATATATATTTATCAGTAATATCTGATATATTAAACTAAAGCATATTCCGATAAATAATTATATTGCAATAAATAGTACAAAACAATTTATTGCATTCGAATATTTATTTCAATACTGCCATATAAATCATTTATTTGAAACTAATAATATTGATTTGATGTGAAAAATATTTATTTGAGATAAGAAAGTCCTTTTCAAAACAAATCAATATTTGTTTCAAATAAATAATTTTAGGATTGAGTAAATTAATGATTTTTTAAACTAAGTTAAAAGAGTTAAAGTTGCTTATAAAATTAATTTAATTCAGTTAAAAATTGCAAAAAATTAACTCATTGTCAGTTAAAGTTAAGATTAAATTAACTGAAGTTAAATCAAAAGTTAATTTTTAAAAACATTATTGATATAAAATTAGAATTTTGTTTGTTAATTCTTGTAAAATTTATAATAGCAAATAACAAAGAAATTTTAATTCTTATATAGAAATATATTTTTGGTAATTACAATTGATGACAAATGGACATAAAAATTAATAATGCTTTAATTTAAAAATAATATGTACGTTTATAACTTAGAAAAAAAAACAATTATGGTATTGAGACATAAAAAAATTAATTTATAGTTAGAAAAAAAGTTAATAAGCTTAAGGGGTAAAAAATCACTAGTTAAAATTAATATATCTTAAATTAACTAAGTTATTAACTTTTGCTATTAAACATTTTCTATTAAAAACTTAATTTATTATTGAAATAAATATTTATTAATTTTGTCATTTTTTCCAGTATACTCGTTTATATCGCACATATCGGTTTTTAATGATTCTCTATTTAACAGAAATCTCGTGCGGCAACCGGACGAATATTAAGACAACAGTCCGGGCCACCATGGTGGAGAAAATAAAATTCTCGATGTGGGTCGTGCACAGCTTGAAATAGAAGCGCCTTCTCTCTTCGCCTGGTTCACCCGGGGCTCCCTCAAAATGCTTATAAACGAAGGCGAAAGTTCGTCATAATGCCGATTATATTTTTGAATGAATGACGCACATTGTACGCGTAAATGTGAAATTGTGTTCATCTGAAACCAGGAGATTTTCGCGAAATAAGAGGCAGATAAAACGAGGATTGATTGGAGGCCAGGAAAATCAATTATCGACACATTCCCAAGATATCACTGAGGAAAATAAATCTCGTTTTCCACGAGATTAGCATCGTCATTCGACTTTTAAAGCAGTAGGCCAAGGATAACGAGACGATGTTGATTCCGAGTATTTTATGTCAAAAGGACCTTCGTGGAAGATAGAGCCTATCGTGATGGGTCAATAAAACTCACTTTGTGTATAAATTAACTGTTAAAAGTTCCTCTTTATATTTAAGGAAAATTGCAATCAGAAATATCACACGATATTTGATTAAGACTTATTATTTTCTTATATTAATATCCATTAAAACATAATGTCGATATTAGTGTAAGAATTTTGAAAATAATTAACATGGAATTCTAATTTATTCTTATTTAATAAATATATATACATAATCCTGCATGAAGAATAAAAATATACATATAATTGGGTTTAATTGGGCGTATTTAAAATAGAATATCCAAGTATATGTAATAAATATATTCACATTGGAGATATAAAAGGAATTCTATTAATAGAAATGAATAATATATATTTGTGTAATTTAATGCATGATGACTAATATTTGTTTGTTTGTTTTTTTTTTTTTTAGATTGGAGAAGAAGACGAAAGACCTGCAGATAGCCGAAAGAAATGCGATGATCTACGAAACACGTTGCAGTGACTTGCAGTCGCAGTTCAATCAGTTGCAGGCCGAGCGCAAGAAGCTCGCCGAAAAGGATCGGGATTCGGAGAAAGAAATCGATCGGTTGAAAGCGTTGCTCGACGATGCTCGGAAACACCTGGAGGAGGAGACTCTGCAGCGTATCGATCTGGAGAACAATATTCAGAGTCTCAAGGAAGACATTAGTTTCAAGGATCAAGTTTATCAGCAAGAACTCACGGAGACACGTTCGAGACGACAAGTAAGTGATTACTGGAAGTAACAAGGTTCTTATATATAACACATTTCTTATATTAAATAATATATTAAATTTAATAATTTATTTTTAATATATTTAATATATTCATTCCAATATATAATTTATTTTTAATATATGTATAATTTAATGTAATAATTTAAAAAAATGTTTCGAAGCAATATTTATAATATTATATTTGTATTTTAGGTTGAGATATCCGAAATAGATGGACGCCTCGCGGAGCAATACGAGGCTAAGCTGCAACAATCGCTACAAGAATTACGCGATCAATATGAGGGACAAATGCGTGTTAATCGAGAAGAAATCGAACTTTTGTATGAAAATAAAATCAAGAATTTGGCTTCCCATGCGCAACGTAATAGTGGAGCTGCCACCATGGCAGTTGAAGAGTTGAGGCAAACGCGTTCTAGAATCGAAGGGCTTAATTCAAGAATCAACGAGCTCGAAGCGGCCAACAATTCGCTTAATGCACGAATTAGGTAATTCTTTTTATACAAAATTTTCTCATTTATAAAATACAGTTTACATGTTAATAGTAGTTGCATATTATTTCTTTAAGTACATGATATTTTATTTTGAAATAAGCAAGAAACTTAAAGTAATATGGAAGAGGATTAAATGATCTTATGAGAAAAATGTTTTAATATTTTATAAATAATTATAAATTAAATTAATGAAATTTATATTTATAAATAATTTATATAATAAAATTATATATATTGATTTAATTAATGTTATTTATGCAGATTAAATATAAAGTATTTATAAGTTTCTATGGATATTCAAGTATTTAATTAACATAAATGTCTCTCTTTCTCTCTCGACAGAGATTTAGAAAATTTACGAGAAAACGAACGTGCTCGTCATACGGAAAGCTTAGCCAATTTGGAAGCAGAATTAACACGTATGCGGGATGAAATGGCTCAGCAATTGCAGGAATATCAGGATCTCATGGATATTAAAGTGGCACTTGATTTGGAAATTGCCGCATATCGTAAAATGCTCGAATCTGAGGAGGCTAGGTGAGCCAATACATTGTAACCTCTTGAACAGTAAATGCTTCTTTTCGTTTTTAACAAATTTACTTTATTTTAACGAATTTAAATTAATTTTATATATTTTAATAAATTTTAATTAATTTATTTTAATTAAATTAATAAAATATTTAATTTTTGTTGAGCTTTCGTCAACAACCTTCAATGTTAGTCTCTTAAGAGAAATAGATGCGATTGAATCTAGAATCTGCTATTATATCACTTCTATCATACACGGTGTTATTTCAATGTAAACGTTAGATGTTAATTTATTCTTTAATTCCCAGATTGAATATCACACCGGCTCAATCGACAAACACATCCTTAGCTGGTAGAGTTACGCCGTCCAGACATACCCCTCTCAGAGGTGGCAAACGAAAACGGACTTTATTGGAAGAAAGTGAAGAGCGCAGTAGCAGTGATTACAGCGTTACAGGCACTGCTAGAGGTGACATAGAAATTACAGAGGCGGATCCCCAAGGACGATTTGTGAAACTCACCAATAAGGGTGGTAAGGTAAGAACTGAAAACTAGTCTTGCCAGCGCGTATTTTATTTGAGCTATGGGTAACTCATAGTTCTACTACAGGGTGTATCTGGGATCTTGAAAACCTGGTATTCTCAAAGAATTTTGTTTTATCTTGAAAAATCAGGAAATTTGATTGGGATTCAGGGAATTAAAAAATTGCTCTTTTATTTTACTGTTAATATATCTGCAATATTTAAGTTTTCATCAATATTTTATGCGATTTTTTTATTGATGACCTATTTCAGTATCAAGATCTTATGTAAATTTAATTTAAAAATTGTTCAAATTTTTAATAGAAGTGAATTAGTCTTCTTTATTTATTTGATAAATAATAACTTCATAAATATATTAATTAATTTAAATAAATTAATATTTGTTACGATGTTTATAATAGATTTTTTGTTTTCTATTTTTTTATTTTATATCTTTGCATATATTTTTTGCGTTTAGATATAATGATATATCGCACTTTGTTATTGTCCAAATTAATTTTACAATTAATAAATCAATATTAAAAACTACACTCTTGATAACTTTCCATTCGTATGAATAGAAAACATTAAAAAGCAAGTGTCCAATAAAGGAACTTTTAAAAAGCTGCTTATCGATCTATAAATGTGTCTTTTACCTGAAATTTTAAACGAAAATACCGGAAAGATCAAAGAATATTTATGGAATTTTTGTACAAAATTTGAATAAACATCCTGTTATATATCAAATATAATTTCTGCAACAGGAAACAAGTTTGAGCGGCTGGCAGATTATTCGTAAAGCAGGTACTCTCGAAACAGCTTTCAAATTTCATCGTACTGCAAAACTCGAAGGAGGTGCTAACGTACTAGTATGGTCCGCTGATATTGGGGCAACACACGAACCACCATCCAACATCGTTATGAAGAGTCAAAAGTGGTTTGTAGCGGATAACATGACTACAACTCTGATCAATAACGAAGGAGAGGTATGCATCGTCATTTATTACGCATTTAATCCTTAAACATTTTTTCTTTTAATGTCAATATATATATATATGCAAAGGTTCGATAGATAATATTAGTTAATTAATTAAAAGTTTAAATAAAAAATTAAAAATTTAATAATTTTTAATTTAAACTAGTTATTTTTTTTTAATTTTAAGTTAAAATTTTTTATCTTTAAATGCATTTTTTTTTTTTTTTTTTTTTTCCCTATAAAATCTTAAATATTGGACTATTAAATTTTTAATAAAGATTAAATTGTAATAAAAGCATTATCCTATAATGTATATCATTTTTACGAATATTGTGAAATAAATAAAGGTACAATTAATTTTTATTTTTTTTATAATTGTAGTTACAAAGGAAAAATACAAGTTATTTTAATTTAATATAAATAATATTTTTTAAAATGAAACTTTTGATTTAACTCAAGTTAATTTAATTTTTGTTATTAACTGAGTTAGTTTTTTGTTCATGCAACTTTTAACATAACTACATTAATTTTATAAGCCATTATTTTAACTTGACTAAGCCACTTTAACTTACTTTAAAATAATACTTAATTTATCCATCCCTGTATGATAAATATCTTTTAATTTAAATATAATAATATTTCTTATTAGCTAAAGTATTATACAAAGCATTTAAGGGAACCAACGTTACATTTTTTAATTTTTTAATAGGAAATTGCAACTTCTGAGCGCAAGAGGCAACAGTTGTCCACAACTTTGTCCCGACACAGAGAAGGTATGGGATTTCGGCCATCAGAAGAACTTCATCATCAACAGGTAAGGTTACAGTAAATGTTTTATTGCATTGAATGTTGTAAGTATCCTAGATGAAAGCTTTAAACTAGTTTTGAGATTAAAACAAGAGTAATAGACTTCATTAGGAGGACAGAAGTTGGACGTAATAATATAATACTGATATGTGTCAGTGTTATATTCTAACTGCAGCAATATTTTGATATACTATTAATATATAAAATTATAATTAGTAAATTGTACACAATAAATTGCAATAATGTAAAAAAAAATAATCCTTTTTTTGCAAACTACAAAAAAATGCTCGATAGAAATCAATGCAAAAAATAAAGCTCGAAGGCAAAAATAGATAAATATATTTTTCGAGATTCTTAAACAATATTAAAAGAAGACAATGTGGCTATAAGAATAATATTTAATTGAAAAAAGGTTTCAACGCGCATTATCAGGGATCAATTTAACATTCGTACAAGAGTATAATAAATATTCAGACATTACCTACTTTCCACTTTTCTTGGAGACTTGTTGATATACAGAATAAGTGTTGCAGTTATAGACAACTAATTTTGGGGGGGTAGCGTTTTCACAACAATTCACTTCTTGTTCCATAGAGAAGATATCTCTACCCGTATTAAGGGTGAGGGCACACGACTCTGATGGGCACTTTATGTAAGTTATTTTATACCCTATCAGATGTTCGAACATTACGTTGTCAGTAATTAATACTCTATTACGCACTCATATAATATATAAGAATTATTTTGCTTCATATTTTGTTGGTTTTCATGCAGCACTTTGCCTGGATACTCACCGCTTAACAACTAAAAATCTCATACCTTATGAGAATTAATATAATCTTTGTCAAGATTATTATATCATTTCTCATCAATTAACCACATTGTCTTTAATTGAAACATATATTATTGCGATTCTTATATTTATATATAAAAAATATATATACAATGTATTCATTAAATATTATTTGCATAGATGACACTTGAAGCTTTTTTACATAGGATTTGAATATTTAGTATTAATTTCTGAAACAAATTTTAATTCTAAATTTGAACTTAATATTAGAGACCTGTACGAAATCTTTATGAACTTTTTGTATTTCAGTGAAAAATCGAATTTTTATCTACTGATATTACATAAATATCAGTTGCTCATTTCGTGAAACAAGTTCTATATAATCGATGAATTATATGACGTGTAATTTGAGGAACTGTATGCGCTTTGCTTCATTTGAAATGCGAACGGTAATATTATAATATTTACAAGTAACAAATTTAATTTAGCGTGTTGTATACTTATATATTGTACATTACTGCATATTAATACAGATTGTATACAAAATAATAGAGATTATGTGAACTAAATACGTTATATGCAAAAGACTTTTAAGCAAGATGGAGTAATGTTATAATTTATCAAAAGGATATATCTCATATTTTCATATACATATCTTTTTCACTGTGTAAATGTAGCATAAAGGTTCATTACTCGCTTATAAATGTAACTAAATAAACTTGCTAAATAAACATGCTAAATATTCACGCAGTGAATTAAGCGAATTGTGGGGCCGCGGTTTATTACTCATATTTATTTTACGTTTCTCCCGTTCTGTTTTGTTGATGAAACATTGTACGTTTTATGTTTCAGAGCGATCCCCAAGGTGAAGAGCGTTGCCGTATTATGTAAACATATATAAATTTATCTCATAAGCTTAAATATATATTATACTCTAAATTAATTTTGATAAATGAGTCTTGTATCTCAAATACTTCTGACATTATATTCTAAGTTAATTTTCTTTCTGTTAATGGCATGCATTTTTTTTCATTCTCACGAATTTTTAAGCGGTGCTTCCGAAACTGCATTATTATATAAATTTAAAAAAATCTTGTAACGTTATTGTTTATATTAACGGAACCAATTGTCTGTTTGATTGTTCTCTGTCTCAGTTCGAGCATAATATCTTCTCTCATATGTTACGTCTCTCATATATAATATATATATGTATGTATAGCAATAAAAATTATCAACTTTTTATTGCGATGAAAAAATATAGATACATATATTCTATTGCAATAAATGTGTAAGAAAGTTACACATAATGTGTTTCAACTGCATCTTATCAATATTCATCATTCTAGATTGAGATTATTATGAAAAAATTTTAAACGTTTCTATGATAATGAAATTTTGTAAGAGCTTTGTAAAAATTGATGAGAATAAAAAAATCGCGCCATTAACATAAAGAAATATACATAATGTGTGGAGTATAATGTCAGAGACACGATGAATTCTACAAGATTCATTTATTTTGAATATCTACTTTGAAGAAGAGAATAATAAAAATAAAAAAAAACAGAAAAAAAGAAGACCGACAAATATATATTGCAAGTATAGAACACATTATATAATTTTGCTCCCATTATCGCAGTTGAATATATATCTATGTATAACTTATAAGAAAGGGAAGATATTGTATAATATATTTCAGCTGATGTGCAAAGAATTTTAATCAAACTTAACAACTGGGTTTCGTGTGGTACAAATGAAATAGGTTGCATTTACAAAGCCATTTATTATACATATATAAGAGAAAGAGAGACAAAATTGTATTATTATATTCCGTTAAATCCACAGCCGTACAATTGTCAAATAGACGGACATTATTAAGGGTAGTAGCGCTCTTGCATTCAGCCAATTTCTTCTCCTCCATTGTTACGAGCTGCATACAAGGTCACACCTTTACCACCTAATGCTTAGTGCATCCTCTTTAAATTGTAATATTGGACAAATGATGTTTCGAGCGGATTTTAATGATTAATGTTGTCTTAATTTATAATAATGTAAGTTGCGTTCATGTTCGTTCGTTAAATCCAAAAAAGAGCAAAATATTCAATAGAGCGATTAGGCTGTCAGTATTCAGTTCTCTCTCTTTTTTGTATTTCTTTTTTTCTTTTTAAGTATGACAGTGCAAGACTGTGCGAAAGCTAAATATATGATAACTGTCAGTTGGATGAACTCAGTTTCGTCACTCTATGATGGCCTGAAGAAAACGCTTGACTAACATTCGTTTGATGAATGTTGTTTTCATTTTCCGATTGAGTGACATTTCACTGAAAGTCGCTGTTAAATGTCGATGAGAGGGAGCGCAAAATTTGCGCATCGCCGATTCTACTTTTCTGAAATAATATATTTCAAAGAGAATGCGAGAAACATATTTGTTCTTACCATCGCGCGTCCACCTGTGCGTTCGAAATGATTTTTCTCAATTGTATTCAGCTTTATATCATTTATATACTAATAATAAAAATTACAAAAATTAACCGTACAGATGTACTCGTCGTATATTAATTATTCTTTTTCACGATAGCGTGAAAAACAGCTACTTTTAGGCAGACATTAAGTTAGGACGTCTTTTAACGCAGTATAAAAAAAGACTTTAAGACAGATTAAGTTGTTCAGATTCTATAAATACATATTAAATCAGCTAAATTTTGTACATAGAAAAAGCAAAATTTCCTTCCGTCTTAAAAAACCTAAAAATGCTATATTATATGGAATTGATAAAATTGCATGAATTGTATGGATTATTAACTATGAGTTCGATTGATAATTTCCATCTCTTTCAAAATAAAATTCATCGAGTTAAAAATGCACATCTTCCGTTCTGGCGATAAAATTCCATCTTTTATGTTTACTCTCTTCTATAGAACTGTACAGATAATGTATTTCAAAGTGTACACATTACATTACTTTATAAATGATCAAATAAAAGGAATAAAAATAATATATACCTTGAAAATACTTTTGTAAGTGTGGAAAAAATATCTATATATAAATATTTATTCACAGATAGGGGAGGAAAAATTTAAGAGATGTTTAATTGAGGGATAGACGTAATATATAATCGACACAATTTTTTCACATATTATCTATGGTATGTTTTGGCTCCAAATTTGGAAACTGTCAAGTAAATAAATCAATAAAGCGTGGATTAATAAAAGTAAATTCGCATATAGAATACGTATGGAATATTGTATGTTCGCATACAAATACATATAATACGGATTTTGCTAAGAGCCACAAATACATTAATGCATTCAATCTATTGTGTAATGTATACATTCTTCACATGCAAAATTTATTGTAGTCCGTATTATATGTATTTGTATGCAAATATATGTCACAAGTATTTTATATGTATTTTCTAAATGCGGATTTATTTCTATAATTTATGCTTTATTGACTTATTTATTATTTGGCAGTTGTTGATATCCAAATTTGAAGCCGAATAATAAATAATATTTAAAAAAAGCTGTCTATAAGCAAAAAAAAAATTAATTCGCATCAATTATATATATTACATCTAACTCGATTTAAATTGCCTTCCCTATCTGTGGATATTCACAGTATGAGAATTTTCTACTTTATTAATATCTACTTAGGTATAAAAAAAGGTTTTCTACTCGGATACGTTTTTGTTAGGTAAAGAATCGTTATTTTTGCTTGAAGACGATTTATTATGGACCTCCAAGTTTCAATATCTCTGTACATATAAAGATTTTCCATACATATTAAAAAGTAACGTGGAAATTAGTATAAAAGTTTTTTGACATATTTGTAAAATGCGTACATCATATATACGTTTTAAGTGTAAGTTACATTAATCATTTCAATGATACTGTTATACTCTATTTGTCTTATGATATATTAAGATAAAGTAAAACAATCTCTTATACCCGTATGAAATAAATAAGTACTCAGGAACTAAATAAAGCACAGAATGAAAATTTAAAATACGGTTAATCGACATTATTCTTTTACATACTAAAAAGATTTTAGTATGTAAAATTTTTGCATACATTATATATAATATATATTAACTTAATTGTTTATCATCTAAATGTATATAGCAATTTACAATAATATACACAGATATATTCACATAATAAAAATGTTTGTCAGAAACAGAAAGAAGGAAAATGTCGAGAGTTTCGAAGAAATAAGCGCATCAGATTCTGTAACTAATAATAATAATAATAATAATAATAATAATAAATGTGCGTACAAGCACAGTTACAAATAAATACATCGAGTTTCGATTAGAACTACTAAACTAATTAATAAATAGAGTTAAATTAAGTTTGAGATAAGAAATGAAAATACCCGCAAAATTGTAAATAAGAAGAGTTTTTCGACAGGAAAACCATCGACACTTGGATATAAAAAAAAGAAAAAATTCCCTTTGGCGTCGCAAAATCCCTCCGAGGAAGAAAATTCCGCTTAAGTACCGTATAAACCGTAAATGCACGTTTTCGCATCGCTATTACATCGACAAAAAGCACGCGACGACATTGAGCGATCGGCTTTCGAGAAGCTTATTCGACCGGCTTCGAAGAAATTAACGCCGACATTTCTTCCTACATATATCATCGTGAAGAGTATAGTGAGATAATATTCGTTCAAACACGCAGAGTTTCTCAAAAATTCCGCCACATTCACATAGATTCTTATATGTAAATATTGTAACCATTATATATGCGAACACAATATAATAACATTTACACATTTTTTTTTTATAAGTTAACGCGTTTATATCTTATATAAGTATATATATATATATATTAATCTCCGCGGAGCTGTCTTCTTCATTGATTACTTTCGATAAAGCCTGGTTTCTCATTTTTTTCCATTCAGAGTCTTAAGTAATCTTCAACAATAAGTACCATTAAAAGTCCAACGTATTTTACTTGATATCTCCGGCTTCTGGATGATAATTAATAACGCTTTTGTTGATCATAACGCCTTTGTTCAAGAGGCTATATAATATATGTATCTCACTCTTTCTCAAAAATTTGTAATATATTTTTCAAAAAATGGCAATCGCGCCAGGAGCAGTATTCGAGCTATTATAATAATCTTACGTTTATTGAACATTGCGCGATGTGTATTAATGATGATCAGATACAAACTTAGGCACGTAAATATATATCCGATTAAATTCTCTGTGAATCCTCTGTCGATTAAACTCTTTCAATAAATACCAACAGTTCTCGCTCTCTCTCTCTCTCTCTCTTTCTCTTACTTATAGCAAAAACATCGTTTATTTCTCAAATAACTCTTACACTTTCATCCCCTTCTCGCTTAAAATTCTACTCTCGCATTGTCAACGCCAGAAACAGCCCTTCTTACAGGATTCTACGTTCTGTCGGCGATTATTTCACGAATTACCGGACGTCAGGTTGCTGTTGAGCAGCTCGGTGTTGGCGTTGTTCGCCGTCAGCTGTTGCTGCTCCTTCTGCTTCCTGCGTCGCCTGCGGTTCCGCTTGTGCACGCAAAACAACGCCACGAAGACCACGAAGAGGAACACCGAGACGCACGAGGCGACGAGTATCCAGATCGATCGAGCCTTCTCGATCTCCTCCTCCTTCTGTATGATAGCAGAGCACTCGTCGAACAGCTCGTACGTCCGATTGCTGAATCCCACGTTGGCGCAGTCCTCGTTCAGAGCCGCCGGTGCATCGGTGCAATTGTAGAGATGGGCGGGCTTCATCTTGATCTTCCGTAGCTTCACCCAGGCGATGAACGTCTGACAGTCGCAGCTGCCCGCGTCGAATCTGATGCCATTCCTGGTTAGATCGAGCTCCTTCAGCGAGCAGAACGGCGCCAGATCCTCGGGATTGATCGAGGTGATGACGTTGTCGGACACGTTGAGAGTAAGGAGAGCCGGCTGGGGGCCTATGTTCGGGATCGCGGTCAGCTTGTTCTTGGTCAGCTGCAGCAGTCTGAGAGGCGAGGTGACCTTCACCTTGAACACGGAATCGGTGAGCTTGTTGTGGCCGAGGTAGAGCGTGCGAAGATACGGCAATTGGAAGAGGCTCTTGGGCAGAGTGTCGCAACCGTTCTGCGTGAGATCAAGCACCTCCAGGTAAGGCTGACTGGCGAAGGCTGCCTCCTCGATTGTCTGGATGAAATTGTCACCCAGATAGATGAAGGTCAGCTTCTTGTAAGGATGCAGACTGTCGTTCGTCAGTTCCCTCACGCGATTCCCGCTAACGTCCAGCACCTAGCAAACAGAGGAGAAACGTCAGGAGTGTCAGCAGGGATGAAACGTATACAGGGTGGGCGATTTTAATCGATCCACGCAAATGTTTCGTGCAATAGTATATTGTGTATCAAGTGCGAAAAGTTGACAATTGTCAATCCGCACGTGATACACATACTATTTTGTATTACAAGTGTAGGCAAAGTGGCTTTGTGCGCGTTTTCTGTGCGCGAGGTGGCCGATCGCACGCTGCCATCTTACGGTGGCACGGTGCGGGAATAGCCGTGGGCAATGTATTGCCCACGGCTTTAACCGTGGGCAATGACTTTGAACGCGGCTCAGCCTTAGGCAATGGCTTTGAATGCGGCTTATTCACTCACCGCATCGCCGCTAGATAGCGGCGTGGGAAATCGGCCGCTTTCCGCACAGAAAACACGCACACAAAGTGCCACTTTGCCTGCACGTGTAATACAAAGGTTTTTTGACATTGAGAGGAATATAACATGGTGTCATTAGTTTGACCTTGGGTAGTTGCTTGAAGGTCATCTTTAATTTCTTAAATGGAAATAGCTACAAAAATATGCATTGCAAAATAGAGGTTTCCATTTAAGAAATTGACGATGACTTTCATGTGACCTTTAAACGACTATCCAAGGTCAAACCAATGACACCATCTTATATTCCTCTCGAAGTAAAAAAAAAAAAAAAAAAACTTTTTTATATGAAAACTTTTTCTTTGAAATGCATTGCTCAAAAGATAAGAGTGGATTGATAATGATCTACCCTGTATACATGAAATCAAAGAAAGTCATATACATGTTTTCGAGAAACTGAATTATTTTAACATCGCATAATAGCAACTTTTAACTTTGAAAGGTATTATTCAGGCGAAGATTGATACGCTATTCATCAGATTTCTGTTAGTAAAAATGTTTCCGAGTGAAAAATGGTAATTCTGTTGAAAGAACAGAGGCCGGGGTTTATCAATAAGATCTTTGTTTCCGTAAAGATGCACTTGTCAGATTAGCCGGCCAGCGAGAAGAATTAATGGCCCAGCTAACTCAATAATGCAAGGACGCGAGATATTAGCACGATGGAAAAGGATTTCTTTGACCCGACCACCTACCCTCTCGATAGGAAAAAAATGAACATTTTTAATGGCCCTTTACTGACATTAATTGAATTAATGAAACTTTTTTTAAAATCTGTAAATAGAAATTTTATTAAAATAATCGATTGCGAAGTTAAATTAACTATTCATTTGTTCGATCGAATGAAATTTTAATCGTACTCTTCTTTCGAAATTAAACATTTCGAGTTTAAAATAATGTCATGTATTTTTAAATATATTTTTTCCCAGTCTGTATTTTTAATACAGTAACACTCAATGATACATATTTTAGAAGATTAATTATAAAATACTCGGTTGATTTCGGTTCGCATCGCAACTCCGAAATTAGTATCTCTGGTATTTCTGCGAATGTCTACTATTATGCAGATTTTCTACGTGGTCCAGTCAACTTTATCGATTGAATGCACAAACAGTTCTCTGTTAATTCGTATGTGTGTGTATTTGATTCATGTGATTCTTTATGTAGTATTGTGAATCGTAATCTCTTTTGAAGGATATTGTTATTAATTAAAATATTTCTTTGACACATTGCTGGCCAATCTTTTATTGATCAACGTTTTATGTAAAATGGTTATATTTTGATTTTTAAAAATTAACACAGATTCGTCGAAATAAAAAAATCTGTAAAGGTTAAATAATTTATTTAACAAAACGAAAATAAAAGTTATAAGCTAATCTTTAATGGTATTTGTAAAATATACAAAAAAAATTAATATTAAAAGAGACGATTATAGAAAAGATTTTACAGAAATTAATGCGGATAAGTATTATTCATTGAATTATTTATAATCTAACAAATTTTTTAAAATTATTATAACATATTTATAATTAAAAAATATATAAATAATTTATTTAACAAACGAAAAGTATCTTGGCATTTTTTAAATAAACAATATAAATAATTGATTTATATATATATAATAATAATAAAACAAAACATAAATAAAATTTACAAGAGTTTCAAAGGGGAACTCTCACGCTCCGCTTGGGACATCCGGTATACAAGATCAAATGCGTTGGAGCATTGACAATATCTCCGTGCGGCTAAGATTTCTCAAGTGTATTGCGGAACGCATCTATCCTCGTGACCCTGGACAACCCAATCTCCGGATTTAGCGTGTTCTGGAGTTTTGCCTGGGATTCATCGCGACGCAAGTTTACCAAAGTACCGAACCGAGATATAGCTGTAGACGGCTACCGGATTTACAACATGGGTTTGTATTGGACAGGCGGTTAAAAAAGAAATAACAGATATACGTGTCGCTGGAAAATGTGTTTTCCACGAAGCCGGAGAGTGGAAGGGACTTAAGCTCCAAAAAGATGCACATGGCAAGTAGCAGCACAATTTCTCGTCCGTGTAAGAGAGCACTTTACAATGCATATATATATATATATATATATATATATATATATATATATATATACATTATTATTTATATATATTACAATTATTTGTATTTTTTATTTAAAAAATGCCAAGATACTTTTGTTTTGTTAAATAAATTATTTATAGATTTTTTAATTATAAATGTTATTTTTTTTTAATTTTTTTAGATTATATAATATATTTGTGTATATATATATATATATATATATATATATATATATATATACAGGGTGTAACTAAAGGTATACGAAGCATATCGCATGCAGGACGACAAACTAAATCAAAAAGTCCTAAGTCATTTTTTAATCTGAACTTTATTTTTGACGCTATAAATTGTTAAAGATTGACCAATTAGAGCATGGCCACGCCTACTAAGGCGGGGCCTACGCTGTTTTCCGTTGTAGCCGCGCGCTAATTGGCACTTTAACAATTTATAGCGTGAAAAATAAAGCTCAGATTAAAAAATAGCTGAGGACTTTTCGATTCAGTTTGTCGTCCTGCATCTGATGATGTGCTTGGTATACCTTTGTTTAGTTCCACCTTGTACATACATGTATATTAAAATACATTTATTTATAACTTTGTTACAACGTGCGATCGAATTTTGATCCGTAATTTTAATTATCCAAGTTTACAATATATCCGCGATATGGGGAGAGAAAATATAATGATTAATAATTCATATATTTTGCATAACATCGGTGAAATAATGAATAAATTATGAATGCGCGGATGCAAGATAGATTCATCATCGCTTTTAATATTACATGAAATCATGAAGCGTGTGCAATTTATTTACGCGAAACGCGTGTGTGTATCGTATAAATAAAGTAAAATAAAATAAAATAAAATAATGTGGTCGGCAAAAACGTTGAAGAGGGGCGAAGGTATATCCAATAAGTATGCATTTTATCGCCGACGTTGATAAAGCGAAACTCCTGTAATGCTATTATGTATAAAGTACGCGTTACAAGACAGCGCACGCGTTAACCCTCTGGGACATCAATCCGTCTCGCAGCCAGTCTCGTGTGCATCCTTCGTGCAACTAACATAAGCCCGGCAGATTTACCCTTTGAGCGGAAACAACAGCGTAAGAGAGGCTTACAAATAACATACATTTAACTGACAATTTTCCTCTCGCTTCGTATACGCGCGATTTCGATCACGAAAATACGAGGTAACAATTATATAAGAATATAATAAAGTGTGTGGATATTTAATATAATGCGAATATATTTTCATAGAAAATATATGATGTGAAACCTTATATGGAAAATTATTTTTAATAGAAACTTTTATTTAACAATAATATTAAAAATTTCATTATATTGTTTTTAATTCATAAGTCTTAATTTCATAATTAAAAAAAAAATAAAACGGAGTTTCACGGATTTCTACAAGTCCTTACGAATTCCTCTATTTTATGCAAATTGCAAGATAAGATAAAAAAATTTTGTCATACATGCAGAAAATATTCTTTTATAATGGAAAAAAAAATACATTACAATTTTAAGTAAAATATATTTTTATTCATATTTGAACGATAATCTTACCTGTATTTCCGCCATCAAATTTAACGGGATTTCGTGCAATTCCAGATTGGAGCATCGCGCTTCCAGCAGCGAATAAGCTTTGCTGTAGCTGCACTTCTTCGGGGGCGGCTCCCGGTCCATTATTTTCGCGGCTCCCGGTGAACCCAGCACCAGAACATCCGGTACCGTGGCCACGACGAAGCCCAGTAAGAGGAACCCGTTAAAGAGAAAGATGCTCATATCTGCAACAGAATCAGCGGAAACGTACGCTTATAAACTTTGCCCAAACTTTGCCGCAATCGGATAATTAATCGCTCGCGAAGGTGCAATATTTGGGATTCCCTCTTTGCACCGCCACATTATCATTTATGCTATTTTAGTATCACGCAATATCTCTCCATCTCTCTCTATTACCGTTTTATTAAATTATATATTTAAAATATATTATATATTTTTTTAATATTTTATATATGGAATTATAATATATATTATTTTCAAATATTTTATATATATTTTAATATATATATAGAGATTTTTTAGATAGATTTTAAATAGAGATTTTTTTTAATATTATATATATAGATTTGATATATAATTTTGTAACATATTAGATATATAGAATATAATATATATTATTTTTAAATTTTTATTTTATAGATCTATTTATCTATCTTTATATATATTTTTTATATATCTTTTTTTAATCTTATGTTATATATTTGCTATATAATTTTGTAACATATATTATATATATAGAATTATAATATATATTATTTTTAAATATTTTTATATATATTTTAATATTACATATTATATATTTGACATGTAATTTTATAACATATATTATATATATTAAACATTATTTTACTTGCTAAATATAAATCGAGGATATTTTTGGCAAACTTCAAATCATTCAATCGATACGTTCCTATTTAAAAAATCGGATTTTATAAGAAGACAGAAAAAAAGAGGGACGAAATGAGGACGGGCTTAAAGCAAGTTAAAGGAAGTTGATTAGCCGGCGAGGATAGTTTGAAAAAAAATAAAAATAAAAAAAAGAAGCAAAGTTGCGGAAACTTTTCCAATCGTCCGAGCTATCTCTTGTAACGTTCATTTATACGCGCAACTCCGATATTTCCGTAGCCTGATTAAGTATCGTTTGAAAGAGGAAGAGAAAGAGAGAGAGACCATTATGGAATCATAATAGCTTCAGCTTCTGGCGCAATTACGTTTATTTGCGTTTCGAGCGCGCTTGAAGAGACGGAATCGTTATCGTAACTCCTGGAAGGGGTTCGTTCGCAATCGAGATCGATCGGCCGAGCATTTTCGACAGCTATCTATTAACGGCGGTGCATGTCGCCGATAAAGTGCAAACGCGCAAAACGTTGACCTCCTCTAGCAGCCATGGACGAAATAGCCGGGACCGAGAGCCCAGGTTCGATCCGTTGCTGCTGTGTCGACCAAGTAATTTTGCAGCTGGCGATTTCAACTTTGGACAGAGAGAGGGAGGATAAATTTTAGCCGCGTAAATTTCGAACTTTCACGCCGGAGCGCCCGAAATAAAATTAATGAAGAGGATGGGGATGCTGGCGCGAGAAAGTTAACAGATGAAAATTAACAAGAGTCCTTCCCGCGCTTCCCGATTTCGTCTATTCTTCAGCCTCGCGCATTGTTGTCCAAGCATAATAATATTTGAAGAGGAGAGAGAAAGTTCGGTCCATCCTGCATTTTTTTTTCTCTTTTTTTTTCACCAGGTGTCGTCGTGTAATGCGCAGGTGTCCAGCAGACTCGATGAACAAATTTCGACTTTTTCAGATTTTCCAGGACCAGAAATTCATTTTTTTCCCTTACTTTTTAGTAAGTTTAATTATTTCATTATTTATTAAATAAATAAAGAGTACTACTTTATTTAAATATGACTATATTAAAAGATTGAGCAATTTTCTAAAAAACTTACTATAAGATTTACTAAAGTCAATAAAAAAATCAAATATTGCACAATATTTTAGACATATGTTTCTAAGTACTGAATAAGAATAAAATTATCAAAGAGGGAGAATTTAAAAAAAATCCTATCAAATTTTATGAAAAAAAAATTCTTTATTTTTCAAAATAAAACAAAATTTCCGAAAAATAAGTGCAAAGTGTCCAGCAGACTCAATGAAAGAAAATTCGACCTTTTCAGATTTTCCAAGACCAGAAATTCATTTTTCCCCTTACTTTTTAGTAAGTTTAATTATTTATTAAATAAATAAAGAGTACTACTTTGTTTAAATATGACTATTAAAAGATTGACCAGTTTTCTATGAAACTTACGTAAGATTTACTAAAAATAGATCGTCAATAAAAAAATCAAATATTGCAAAAATGTTAGACATAAGTTTCCTAAGTACTGAATAAGAGTAAAATTATCAGAGAGGGAGAAATGTATGATTTGAAATATATAATACATTGAATTAAAATAACACGACAATGCGAAAATATAAATTAACAAATACGCTGTAGATAAATCGATTTTTAACGCAGAAAATTAGCATATTGGGAGTCAAGGAAAAATTTATATTTATTTAATAAAAAATATCAAATTATTGAGACAGCTGTAGAATAATGTGAAAAAATCCAGATAAATAGTAAAATTTCCTGACTTTTTTTCCTGACAATTCCAGATTTATAAAATTCCCTGACAATACCCGGTTTTCTAGATTTCCCTGACCGCTAGACACCCTGAATACGACGACGAGTACCTTATACAGGATGAATCCGAAAACGTTTACTCTCTCACAGTCGAGAGCGAGAGAAATTGCATATATATATACATATATATGTTGCTTGCATGCAGTAACTGTGCTCAAAATATCTGTAAGATGTAATATTAGATGACATGCAATCTCAGCATCTTTCGATTTACTTCTCCGTGCAATATTCGTCATTAAATACACATACATGTATACAGAGTGTATCTAAAATAAGTGCGACAAATTTTAGGTGATTCTTTGTCGAAAATTAAGGGAAGTTTCTTTTATATCCCTCCCTGAAGAGGGAGAAAAATTAAGTTTTTATTTTTTCAGATAAAAAGAATATTTATTAATATTTTTTGGATCTTCCTGTATCGTTATAAGGGGATGCAACTAAGAACCCCTATTTAATTTTCTATCAGAACTTTTTAATAGATCGGAATATGATCATATCTAAAAATAGAAAGTTTGATTGCTTTTGAAACTTTTTTATGTCTTTTATTTTTTTTTGTAAAATCAGTGGTTTTTAAGAAGAAAAAAACTTAATTTTAAACCTTCCTCTTTAGAAAAGTATAACTCCTCAAAAAAAGATATAAGAGTATATACATATTAATATATTATATATGTAAGAAACCTCTCTTAATTTGCGACCATTTATATGCAAAATATATAATAAAATGATAAATTCCTACATATAATTTTATACAAATATTATACAATTATATAATATTATATATAAATATTATATACCTATAATATTATATTATTATATTATTGTATTATAATTGTGTATATTATAATATTATATTATATATAAATATTATATACCTATAATATTATATTATTATATTATTATATTATAATTGTATATTATAATATAATAATAATAAATATTATTATACATAATATTATATACAAAATTATTACTATTATATTATACGCTCTTCTTGGATACACTTTTTTTCACTTCGATATCTTAATTTCTCTCGCAGGAATCTTTTTAAAGACACATTGAGTAAGTATTTCCGTCCTTGGTTTTTATTGCAATAAGTCCGTTTCCGCAGAATGGCTCGGTCATTGCGGATTTTTATCGCTGGATTTATCGCGCATTTCGATGAGATAAAAATTTCACGACGCTCCGCTCACTATATATAGCTCCCTCCCCCCGAACCTAACCTAAAAGCTGGATATTATAGCGGGAAACCCGGCTTCTCTCTCTCTCTCTCTCGACCATAATTAAAATTAAATTGCAGTTAGCTAAGACGAAAGTGCTCTCTTCGCCAAAAGCTTAATAGCATTGCGTAGGATGCACGAAGGAAGGAAGGACTGGAGTAGAAGGTAGGAGATGCGCCTCCACGTTGCAGGTTGTATAAAGGACGGCGATGACGACATGACGAGGGCGAAGAAGCGCCCCCTCGCCGGCTTCTCCGCGAACATCTCACGCTCATTTGCCTGCATTCGAAAACGTTATTAATACAAATTGCAAACGGCAGTTCTCTCTTTGCGGAAGTTTCTCCCGATATATATATATATATATATATATATATATATATATATACTTCTCCCCGATACAAATTAATATCTTGATAATCAAACTTACACCGCTACGAAATTAATTCTATGAAGCTATCCGACATGATTTTGCTGAATATCTTTCCGTTAACCGATTTTCCATAAGTTATATATAAATATGTATATACCGATGTATAAAAATCTGATATGAAATATAAAATATTGAATTTTAATTGCATTAAAATATTAAAAGGGAAATTACTTATTAAATTAAAATGTCAATCTTTTCAAAGTGAGCTAAATTAATTTCCCTAAAAGAATAAAAACGTGATGTATAAAATATTTCAAGAAAATATTATATTTAATTATTTTATTAACATATATATATGCTCTATAATTATAATTATTATTAATATATAAGATAATTATATATCATATTTATTTATTCCATATATATATAATGAAATAATTTATTATATACTTAAATATTTCATATATCACGTTTTTTTTTCTTTCAAAGAAAGGTTAATTTGAACTAATATTTGACCTTTCACTTTTACGAGAAATTGACCTTTTACTTTTACGAGAAATTGATTTATCACTTTTACGACAAACTTTCTTTTTGGCACGTGCGTTCTCTTCTTTCAAGAATAAGTGACGTAATTATATAATAGCATGTCAATAAAAGTGTCTACTATAAAATAACACGTACTAAAAATATGTTTCGAGATAATACCAAGAGTACTCTACGATATTAGATATCAAATATTCGTAACAAATTGATTCTTAAATTTTTGCGAGTTACATCGATGCTGGACGAAAAAATTTATTGAATTCGAATAAATATTTATTTCAATACCGCCTAACAAATCATTTATCTGAAACTATAGGTAATAATATTGATTTAATATGCAAAATATTTATTCGATGTAAAAAAATCCTTTTCAAAACAGTTAAATATTTGTTCGAAAAACAAATGATTTATATTAGGCAGT